GTGCAGATTTGATGGGATAGATGAACAATGAACAATGCTACCTGATTATTATTAATAGCAATACTGTTTTAATTATAGCAAAAAGCAAGTGCAAGTGCTCAGTTACTCTCATGACAGCTGCTAACCCAAAGCATTCAAATCATATAAGCAGTCTGTCACTTGCATTGAATGCAGCCAATTTTATTGAAACATACAACTGTCCTAGCATCTTTAGGAATTCCTTCTGACCACAGGAGTCTTTTGTTATAGCGAGATCATCTTGCTGTTTACTCCATTCAGAACAATGGAAAGTTTGTGAAAGCCATTCATCTTAAAGCTATCACTGGTGATAAAATATAGTGCCCTGAATTTCTTAAACAATAAAATCTACTTGCATTCACGTTTCTGTAAATCTCAATGTTCCACTGCTCAGTCTCATTCTGCAACCTGCATATATTTATTTGCACCTCAGTGAGGTTTATGCAGTATGGGACATTCATAATGACACAATCATGATGTATGTCATTCATGCACGTCAGTCAGGGATATAGCCTTCTCTGACTATTTTCCCTGTTCCCACTAGGATCCTGTTCTGGGACAAAGACTTGCTCCATTTTGAACAGCCAATGAAATGCCCATGGCTACAACTGAATAATTAAAGAAAAGATGGAGCTACTGTGGTTCCGATTAACCTGTTCAAAAACCACAGCTTGCATTTATCTTCATAACAATTATAATCCTTACTTTGATATCTCACCTGTCACATTGGGTAACTGCCTCAAAGCATTTCACAAACTTTACTATAAAGTATTGTGACTGTATATTTTGAAGAGGAACCTGCAAACCAATTTGGACACAGTAATGTCCTACAAACAGGCTAAAAGAATAAATTTTCCCTCATTCCAGTGCTGAATATTTTTATCTGAGGGATTGTTAACCAGGACACTGGAAGAAACTCCCTTCTTTGTTCACTTAGTGCCCTGTGTTCGTTAACATCTATCTGAACAGAGAGGTAGAACTTTGGATTAACAATTCATCTGAAACACGGCTCCTCCAACAATGCATTGCTCCTCCAGCATTGTACCAAAGTGGCAGACAAGATTGTAAGCTTAATGTATTGATAAAGGGTTTGAATTTACAACCTTTAACTCAGATGAGACAGTGTTACTAATTGAGCCAGTTTGACACTGTGCATTTTACACAGAAAAACATGTGTAGATGTGTTTTACCGGGGTCAGGAGGCAGCTTGGGACATGCTAGTCCCCTTCGTCAGAAATTAAGAAACAACAGTATTTTTTTAGACCCTTATCACATCAAAATGTCTCAATTGCTTCACAAATAATCCCTGTCACGTGAGGATCTGTATTTTTGGACAAATGCAGGAGCCATTTGCTCCAACAAAGTCCCACAAGAATCCATGAGGTAAATAACAAATTAATCTAGAGCAGAGGTTCTCAAACTCAAAAGAGTAAGCCTCCCTAAAATAAGAAAACATTTCCCCCCCCACCCCATCCATAGTTTACTAGAACAACACAAAAAACTAAAAATCCTTTACTTTGCAAGAATAAAGTAACAAATTAACATGAGACCAACAGAGCCCTCTCCATGCCACCAACACCCCTATCCACTGGAACTGGAACTTCAATGCCTCCTGCTCGCCCCTCTCTATCTTTAAATCCAAATTAAAGACCTAACTCTTCGACCGTGCCTATGGAACACTCCAAAACATCATCCTATGTAGAGGGAATGCAAATTATTGTTGTTGCATGCAAATTTTATGGATGCCTTAAATGCGCCAACTATCAGTTTAATTGTTCTTTCAACATTTCCTGATACTCTTACTTTCAACGACCAAAAAATACATTATGGAGAATACTGCGCTAATGCTAGTACAAATTTAATTGTGGCAATTCTCTGCTACATTTCACAACTTATCCATTCATGTTAACACTTACACATGACAGAGCATGGACTACAGTATCTACAAATATTATTTACACATAAGTGGTTAATTTACCATTAACTACTACAGTCCTTCGAAGTCTGTTGATAGAAAGTTAATCCAAATATTTGTTGGAGGTAAGGGGGTTGGGGGTAATAGAACAACTGGTATTTACTATTTGATATGACAAAAAATGTATTCTTGTTTTCTCAGCTACATTTGAACAGGGGTTTGATTCTCCGCTTGAGCTGCAAGCATTGTGATTGAAAAACACTGTCCATTGTAGTAATAGTAGTCCTTTATAGAGTATATATTAAAAGGCTATTCTTTCTTATTCCAATCAATTTTTTATGTTAGAACTTTTAAATTTACAACCTCATGCAATTGACGTTAATGGTGTTACATTTGTGGAAATCCAGTCCATTTTTGTCAAAGGTCCACTGCAAGCATGAATTTCCTAGGCCAACTTAAAGAATACAGTAATAATAATAATAATCCTTATGTTTGATACAGCATCTTATTACAACTTTGAGATAAGGTGCTTCACAGAATATACTGTGAAGTGGATTTACTGTGTATTGTGTGGGCGAAACACAGCAGTTAATTGCATATAACAGTATCCCACAAACAGCTGTGGATTGATTGACTAAATTATTATTATTATTTTTAAGTGATTTTTTAATATAATTTGTCGGTAACAATAAAATATTATAAGTCATGTAGCTGTTTTGATTAAGTCAATCGTCAAGGATCTAACTCTTTCAACCCAGACACAGGACATATTTTAGCTAAATCAAATCATAATGTATTTAACAGACATTTGTCTGGAAGAATAATATGCTTCCCTTTGACAATTAAGCATTGATGTGTAATTTGATGAGCTCATTTATAAATGTCTCCAGGAAATCAGCTTTGAAAGAGTTGTTAAATAAATGTAAGCAGTTTAGAGGTTAACAGCCTCAATATGATGTCGATATTGTACATAAAAAAATATGATGTTGCACTATTAATCTTTTAAATGCTTGCAAGGGGTAAAAGAGTCCAAAGAATTTCTAATGACCCAAGGTTTGATAGCAGCCGTTGTGCATTAATGTATAATTGCCATGTCTTTTGCTGTACAATAGTGTAGCATTGCAGGATAGCCTAGCCTTTGCATTTAACTCAGATCAGATTGCTAGGGCTGTGATTAAACCCTATGGGCTCCATTATGCTGCCACAGGCAGGAAATCATTCCTTATACTAGAGCTATGGATCATGTACCACCCCACTGGCACTTAAGGACACACAGAGTATTCACTGCTTCCAGCTTCACCAAACCAAGATTGCATTCCTTCTGCTCCACCCACATACAACAGCAATGCAGTTAAAGCACAGCCTCAGAATCTTTGCACCCTATATTGTCTCTGCCAGGACCAAGATTAACTGTGACCTAATTAACATTTCCAACTGTAGTAGTCAGGCAGGTTGGAATTATGAGTCAGATGTTGTGATCATGAAAGAAAATTACTGTACAAGTTTTTTATTTATTTTATTATCAGGAAAATAGGTGAAGGGTGGCATAGGTGTAAAGGAATAAGTTCGACACAGTAATTAAAGCCATTTGGTTAACTTTCACATTTTATAAAATATGACAGTTCAGACTGATTTTGTCTTGAGCAGGATGGAAGTTAACCTTTTCTGCTGTGTCAGCTGCAAAAGAGTCAAGTGGGCTTTGAATAAACATATTCAGCTGTGATGGAAGTAGCTTTCATGGGAATTGAAGAACAAATAGCTGGTGGTGGTGGTAGTAGTGGTGAGGTAAGGTCCCTTGAGGTTACCGCACTGCATTATCAAACCTAGGATTGTGTGATGCTACTAAGGTCTATGTCCCCATAGTGAACGCTGCTTCTAGTGGGCAAGATCTTAATCAACTGGTAAATGTCAAAAACAACAACAAATTAAGTTTGTTTAGCCCCATTTTCTCATCAGGAGGATGTCCCAAAGCACTGGACAGTCAGAGATTTGGACCCGAGTTGAGGGCTGGGATCAGAAGGGGTGGAGGGCAGGGAGGGTGGGGGTAGAAGGGTGACCAAAGTCGAAGTGTAAGGTCTTGAGATGGGCCTTGGCGGATGCAAGGGAGGGGCGAGGCGAAGGGACTGTGGGATGGAGTTCCAAAGGGTGGGGTCAGACAGGCTGAATATCCTTTTCTTAAAAATAAATTTGGACTGCGGGTACGACGCAGAGGTCCACAAAATTGCACGACCAGTAGATCTGTGTGTTTAAACCTTCTGGTTCCATTAACCAGTTGGCGTCTGGAAAGAGTCAATCAAATCAATGAACTGGAACCAAGAGACAATGTATCTCCACACAGACAGCAATCACTGCAGAAAAGCCTGTTCCTAAAAATGTGTCAAGACCTTCCGTTTGCCACCTGCTCGCACCCCTGAGGTTTATCTTGTTCGTTTTTTGTTCTGAGCTTTCAGACAGTCTGCTGCCAGCACTTTTCATTCTAATGCTAAACTAAATGGAATGAATAAACACCCCATTCCCAGCATATGTTGGCACTTCTGGTTACCACAGCTGAGTGAAGGAGTGGGTTTGGGCAGTGGCTGCAGTCACAATGAATGCGGTAGAAATTGCTTTTAAAAATGGATGTTTGGGCTTGGTTTGAGGCAGAAAGGAATACATGAAGGAAGGGCGTGGCACATGCTCTTTTTCTCTCTCTCCCTCTTATCCATCTCTCTGTGGATGCTGCAACACTGCGATTACAGTGCTGAAAAAAAAGCTCTGAATTCAGGCAGCTCCTGTTCAGCACCAGGGACAGCTCCCGTCGATTCCACAAGGGATTCACAATTGGGGAGACAATTGCAGAGAGGGATAGGAACTGATGCTCCCAAACAGCATCAGTTCTTGATGCCAGACATTGAGCATCTTACTTGGAATATACTACCAGAATAAGAGAGGTGGGGGGGGGGGGGGGGGGGCAAACCTTGATTTGCATTTCAAACTGCATCCTGGCATTTTGTACTTTAGCATCATTGGTGGAGCAATATTTAATGCCTGGAGATTCAGAGTATGCACCAGTCATGTCAGGGGACCTCTTGAGCCAATCTGCTTTGCCCAGCAGGTGATTATTATTCAGAGCGGTCTGCCTGTATTCTTTCCTTTCCAGAGCTCCACACTGCTGATTCAGTGCCTTATTCAGTCGTCTCTCTCTACGTTGCTGTAGCTGGATCCCTTTCCCTTCCAGCCTTTGAGCTTTTGCATCTTCCACCATGTCTAAAACAGCAATCGGTAAGAATTTCTTCCTTTTGCATTGATATTTCTCAGCAAGACATCTCGTGTATTTTCCAATAGAAACTGTTTTTTTTTCTCTCTCTCTCTCTCTCTCTCTCTATCTCTTAAATCACTATCCCGTTCCCTCTCGCGAGGCTCCTAGGAATTTATGCATTATTATATTTGCTAATGGCTAAGTAAAAATTATATATTTTTATTAATTTTTTTTGCTGGTAAAAGATTTTAATCTGGGAGCCTGGTGATAATATGCATTTGGTGGGGGTGGAGGGAGTGGGGAGAAAGTACTCAAGACAAAGACCTTCAAAACGTCTACAATTAGTCTTATCTAATTTAAAATTACGCACCAGCTTGAATCTGCAACAGTAGGCATTGAACGAAACCAACTTTATCTGTAGAAAAAAAAACATCTTTAAGGCTTGAAAGCTCCATTGTACAAAGTAAGATGCAAGTGTAACAAAAGGTATGAGTCTCATGCTATGTTTTATCTTTTTCAAAAGTGCTCTTCTAATCGTGCATTTCTAAATGGGTCGATTTCTGTCTAAAATCTTTCGAGAATAAAGGTGCATTTTGTGCAATTTATTTCAGTGATGTGCTTTGCTTACGTTTTTTTTTGACAGAACACAGCGCACAATGCAGGCAGACCCCACCCATGTAATGTATGTGTCTGTTCTCTCACAGCGTTGAGACACAGTGTAAAAGACATCAGCTTTGGTGCTGCCTGAATGGGAATCCTTCGAGAGAAAGGGAGGAGATAAATAATATGGCAAAACTTTTGATTTTATAAACGGCGTTAAATCATGGAATTCCAATACCCGGAACGGATGACCTTTTCCATATAAATTTAGCCATGCAATTGAACAAGTGCTGTGTTTGCAGGGTGTAGTTATCTCTTCACCATTCAGCAAGAAAGTGGGAAGATTGCAATGGAAAATAACCATCAGCTAATGCGGCTGCACTTGCCCTGTAAATTCATATTAGCACAAGAGCGATGGGTTGGAACCAGAACAGGGAAAACGCGTTGCATTCAAAATTCTGGCAGATGCCAAATCTGTGCTATTCTATAAATGCTACCATCTGGAGTTTTCGAGGAAGCAAATGCATGGCTAGAATTATTCCCTCTTTGGAGACAATTGTAGTTATCTCCAGCCTGCTCTCCCCCAATAGAGGATCTATTGGGAAAATAGAGTGTGCAATGGATTGCATGGGAGAAGATGGGTTGGGTGTGGTGTTCTGGTTAGGAGACAGTATGCAAATGGCTGGAGACGAAAGTCTGGGAGTGCAGCCAGCCCTGCGCAGCTCACAGCTACCTCCCCTCCCCACTGCAGCACTGTGTAATCAGTATTGATAATTTGTAGTTGGTGGGAGGCTGATCACTGCAGAAAATGCCATTAAAAATTCTGTCGCCAATGCAAAGCTTTTTCTCCAGCCACCAACAAGCAGGTCAGGGACATGCCTGCTCTAAACAAGAGGCTGCTGGGTTAATAGGGGAGGTGGAGAGGAAAAAAANGGTCACAGATGTGAATAAAAGGCTGAAACCTGATCAGATGTGCCTGTGCAAATTAAGGTAGCCAAAACAAGCCTTGGGCGGTGTCTGGGAATAAAAGCAATAAGGTGACACAGCTCATCATCATCGAGTCCTTCCCTTTGCATTTTATATAAAATCTCTGCTACTGCATAATTTTCTGGGAATTGAAGCTTTCTCTTTTTTTTCTAATCTAATACCTCTTGGCTCAGTTTGCCTTTAATCTGCACTGTCGTTTAGCCATCTTCTTGGCAGCTGGCTGATGAAATGATGCTGGCATACTGGGGAGGATTTTAGCAATGTCTGCTTGGCTCCTTTACTGCGCTGTTTTTTTGCTGTAGAAGAGGCAGTTATTCGTATTTCCTGGAGAAGAAAACGCATTCCTTGCGTGGGTCATGAACATATAAGTTGTTATCTTGTCCGGTATTTTGTGACCGTTAACTCAGAAACGCTGAAGCTTCATAATAAATGGTTCTTTGTTGTGCAAAAAAAAAGCCATATTCAGCTCATGTCAGTGTCCACCAAATGCAGTGTTACATAAATCCGGATGGCACAACCTGGATTAGGTTCTTTCTTCAGGGCACATTCCATCAGACATTCCCATTTGGATGGAAGGGCAGGGCAGGCTGTCCTGGCCCATTGTGTTCTCCACAAACAAAGTCACTGCCTTTCCATGACAGGCCACCAGGAGGTGCAATTGAGGTATAACAAAAAGATAAACTCAGTAAATTCTCACTAGCTGACCCCCCCCCCCCCAACACACACACATATTCATCACAGATGCAACATTATGCCTGTAAATTGTATTGTACTGTACACGTGCTTTATCTTGTGAGCTGTCTGAGAGCTGACAAGAATTGAATTAACTTGAGGCAGACAGCCCTGGGACCTGCAGTCACACCACTTTGATTGGAAGTAGATCATTTGACGCTCCTGGGCCAACGTGAAACAGATTTAAAGACTTTTATCAAATCATTTTGTGGGAATTCTGCAGCTACAATTCACTTAGTGTTCTCCTTGCCTTAGTATGACCTTGAACAGAAGAACACTGTTCATATATATATATGTGTGTGTGTGTGTATATTATATACATATATATAATTAAAGCCTTTTTTTATTCGTGTCCAGTACAACAACAACTCACCTCCCACACTTTTTTTGCTTGATGCACAAAATATCATCAGCGCTGAACACAGTTGCTTCCAAACAAAATGAATATGCATATATTTGCTTGTGAATTAATCATTTTTTTGTTTTTTGGTCAGCCAGGCTGACACATGCGGAAACCCATCCAGCGCCATTAACAGTATCCTAAAATACACTTTACATGATATTCTGTGAAGCACTTTGAGACGTCTCAATGATGTGATAAGCCGCTATAGCAAATGCAAGGAGGATGATTATTATCTGAACCAGACAGAGAGTTCTGCACATGCATGGCCACCTACATATGGAAGCTATCCTGTTAGTATTAATGAACCGTTAACACTAAACATTGTTGATGACTGTTTGTTATAAGAGAGCTACCGCAGCCTGTGTACATCTCTTTTTTCACGTATTTCCAAATGTGAAATTATTCATACTTTGCTTTTAGAAGGAAAATGATTGAATTTTCCTGAATTGTAGCACAAAGCAAAGCAAATCGCTTTCAAACAAATCCTCTCTGTGTTGGAGCTTTAATCCATCATAGTTGTATAACATCCAAACAAATGGCTAAGACCTTGGCAGTTCTATAGAAATACCAAATAATCAGTAAAAGGCTTCAGCTTTACAAGCAAGGTTTGCAAATATAGTCATTTTTAGCATACATAGTTTTATTCTTTGAGTATGAATATGCTATATATTAAAGATATACATACATCAGCTTGCACTGTGGTTGCAAAGCAATTTTAATATGTGTCAGCCACATAATTTGGGAACATTGGGGTACGCACTGCAATCCCCATTGTGGAGCAGAATGTCATGAAGTTATTACAGGTGAATTGTGACCAAAAAGTCTACTCCCAGACTACCTCACACCAGATATTTAACCCTTGGGGTCAACTTGTCCAGGGGCTATCACGTCAAGGGTCATAGAGGTTGCCATCAAGCGTGCGTCTCTTTGACAAATGACCCAGTGACATCTATGACAGACTCTGCCAATCATTGAGCCTTTAGGCCCTTTTTTGAGTGAAAAATTGGCTTTGGGACAATGGAAATAATTGTTTTGGAAAAACTAGCTCCCCATCTTCCAAAGTGACTCCAAACATGAGGAAATTTCCATGCATAAGTGGAATTCCCAGTATGCTTTGGATACATTTAAGCATGGGATGGGTTTCCGCATATGTTAGACACCCTCAGCTGACCAAAAAAAACCTTCCAAAGTGGACTTTGGGAGCAGGAAGAAAGAATCTGAAAAGGTAAGTGACAGGTTGGAAAATTAGAAATAGAATTACAAAATCTATGAGACGAGGAGAAATATCATAAACGTAGAGATAGGGTAAAACAGAACAAGGAAGAAGAATAAATAGAAGGGAAATAGTGATAGTTGGACGAGCACAGGTAAAGTGGAATCTTGTAGCTCAGTGGTTAGAGCACTAGTCTCGCAAGCGAGAGGCCTGGGTTCGATTCCCGGCAGGGCAAAAGCTTGGACAAGTTTCCTTACTCTACACGCCTGATGATAATCCCTCAAGAGAAAAAACAATAATAAACTGGTCACTTCAATCCACGACTGTTTGCGGGACACTGCTGTGCGCAATTGGTTGCCGCGTTCGCCCACAAATATACAGTCAATTCACTTTACAGTGTGTTCTGTGAAGCGCTTTGGAGACGTCTCGAAGACATGAAAAGAGCTATATCAAATGCAAGGATTATTATTTATCTTTACATTTTATTTTCATTTAAAACTGTAAGTTTTGTATTTATTTTAGTGTCAAGCGTAATATTAGAACATTAATAATGATATCCTGATGTTTGAGTTAATTTACTGTCCCCAGAGGTACAAGTCTCTGCAGACCTGACAACTGGCTAAGGATTAAAGCAAGAAACACAAAACATAGAGATGAGAAATATTACAAAGCACTGCAGATAGATATCACCTTTTAGAAAAAGATTACATTAATTTTCTTTAAAAGAGTCGGCAATGGCACAATGGGCCGAATGGCCCATTATCTAAGTAGCTAAGTATCTCTGACACTATTTTATGAGAATTCAAATGAATATATTTTTCCTTGAAGACATTTAGTAAATAAATAACACATACCATTGGAAAAATGAGATGGAAGGTTTTGTTCTCATAAATAACGTAAAAGGCTTGTACATTTGGATGGATATTCAAAATGATGTGCAGCATTATTGCATATCAAATATTTAACAGGATATTTCTGCTTTAATGAAAGCAAGTCCCATTTTAATTAATGCTCTTTATAGAAAGATAACTCAGCTGCAAGCTTTACCAAAACAATTCAAGCAGCATCAAATGATGGGCCATGCATTG